ATATATATATATATATATATATATATATATATGTGTGTGTGTGTGTAATTATTTATCACTTTACAAACAGTTATGGATTGCAGAGCAACAGTAGAGTTGTGCGAGAGAAACCCGAAATGTAGTCTGTACCTTTAAGACCCGCTCTGACGTCAACACTTGCTCGAACGCTATTGGCTGGAGGACTTCCGCATCTTCCAAGCATGCAGGAAACGATGGCAGGAGAGCCCTGGAACAGAATAAACATCCTTTTTCCCAGCGCGGCTTCAACTGTCCACATAAAGTTAACTTCATCAACAGGTTCGGATGTTAAAAACCAGCATGTCTTACATTTCTCTCTGATGTCTCGCGCTCACTTTTGCGCCCATAACACGTAGAAATGTCGCTTCTCTCGACACGTGGGATTACAGTGGGAGTTCGTTACCTTAGTAACGAATGGCGGTTGTTTTGCAGCTACAGTTTTGAAACAACTGTTATTGGAAAACGAGAAGGTCCTGAAGCTGATCCGCAGTTTGATTCTTCAGACGGAGATCCGAGTTTTATACGCGCTGCTGTACAATTTGACCAACCACTTCAGGGGCAGCAAGACGATCAAAGCGTTACAGCAGGTCAGGACTGATGCACAAGGTCTCCCCATAGTCTTCCACAAATCACATCATGTCGAGGGGGAACGTGTATAACGTGACACGTATCAGACTTAACCAAATCTAAAATAAAGCGTGTTTAAAATGTTTGAATTGTGTTTCTATTCTTGTTTATTGCAGGTTGAACAATGTGTAAACAGACTGAAGAACATGAAGCTCTGCGCTGCTCTTCAGGACCTGACTGCTCTTTGCCCCAATAAAATTCAAATGTAAGAAGCAGCTGTGTGTTTTAGTTTTACAAGTTGGTTGACTAAGTTGTGAGCTCAAAATTACAAATCAAACTATAAAAACTGGTCAGATGTGTTGAAACTGTGTGTGTTTTAGGGCGTTATCTGTGAAGACGGGCGAGTGTGATGTTCCAAGTCAACCCATGCTGGAGTGGATCTGTCTCAAGGTGCTGGGAGCCGGCAAGCTCGTGAGCTGCACAATGGCTCGCTGCAGCAGAGCCTTTCTGTATCCTGTTTAGTGTGAAGGCACTGCTCAGAAAATTGAAATGATTTATTTCAGGTTTGTCCTTGACAGATTCCTGTTTCAGGTTTTCAAAGCAGCAGATGAAGTGGGAGGAGTTTATTATACTCAATACGGTGTTAACCAGCATGCTCAGTCGTTTGTGGTAAGAGACGCACATCATCTCTGGAGCCCTGCAGGATATTATCAAACTGATGTTAGCAAAACAAAAGCCTGAATAAAACTTTGCCTAAGAATAAGTTCAAGTATATTTATATTAATTTATATAGTGCCAATCACAACAGAAGTCATCTCAGGGCACTGAACAAAAACATACATATTCGTTAACATTATTTATCTATTTGAGTCTAACACCATCACACACTCTCATCTTGAGCAAGCTTAAAGGCGACAGTGGAAAGGAAAAACTTCCTCATGAAGATTAAACTTCCAGCAGAAACAGGCTCAGGATAATCGGCCATCTGCTTCGACCGGCTGGGTTTGAGAGGAACAGATACACAATGGCAGGGCGAGAATCACATGTTGAGATAGAAATAATATCAAATGAAAACTTCAATTTTAACAATTCATCTAAGGAAATGAGGTCAATTTGTCCTCCAGTAGTCGTAAGCTTATGGCAGTATAACAAGCCAACCCTAACTATAGGATTTATCAAAATGGAAAGTGTTAAGTCCAGTCTTAAAACTGGACAATGTGTCAGCCTCACGGACAGAAACTGGAAATTTGTTCCACAAGAGAGGAGCCTGATAACTGAAAGCTCTTCTTTCCATTCTGCTTTTGGAAACTCTAGGAACCACAAGTAAGCCTGCAGTCTGAGAGTGAAGTGCTCTGTTAGGAAGATATGGAACAATAAGATCTGTAATTTTAAGATGGAGCAAGGTTAACAACAAAGTCCATGCTCAATAATCCAGGTATAAAATCCAACATTTTTCAGTCAGGTCATCTGGACAGTTTCTTTTTTTGGTGCTGAAACGTTTCGCCTTCGATCCGGAATGCTTCATCAGTCAAGGAAACACACAACCAGTTTGACAAGACTGGCAGGGGGGCCCACCACCGGAGGGGAGTGCAACAGGGGGAAGTAGACCCCACAATAAATGGGGGGCCCAAATTGATCCAAGAGAGGGGACCACCTAAAACCCAACCCGAGACATAAACAGGCACACAGAGACAGCCCGACAGAGCCTCTGTCAGGCTGTCCATGCGCCCCACCCACCCGACAGTGACCGCAAGCCGGCCCCAGGCTGGGGGCCAGAGCAGCAGGGAGCAGCAGCTGAGGAAGGCTGACCTAGCGCACAGAGGGCTTTGTAGGTTACAATTAAGATTTTTAATTCAATTCTGGATTTGGCAGGGAGCCAGTAGAGAGACGCCAAAACTGGAGATACAATATATGATCTAGATAAGATGTTTCTACTTTTAGCAATATTACACAGGTGGAAGAAAGCTCTTCTTACTCATATCAGAGTGGTAGACTCTCCTAAATCTTGCTGTTTTTGTAGAATTTCTGGAATGGATTTTTTTTTTTTTTTTAACATCTACTTTTAAAGTGAACCTGTTTGTTCACCTTCACTGTCTTAAGTCTCCATCTGCATGTGTGCCTCATCAGGGTGATTTTCCGTGGCATCCTGGTTGGACTCTCCCGTCTGTACCAGAATCTCTTGGAACTCCTTAAAAACGTGGCCCAAGCCCAGCCCATGCCCTACCTCACCGATGCCTCCCTGCCAGCAGATATGGCTGAGTTCCTGGGCCCCTCTGATGCGTTGTTACTGAAGAAACAGAACGCATTTGTCTCTCTTGCCAAAAATCCCAAAATGAAGAAGCAGCCTAAAAAAGCACCAGCTAAAGATGTGAACCAAAGACCAACGAGGAGGATTAAAGAAGACCTGGGGGTTTCTGTGGAAAGAGGTACACTATTTCCTATTAATATTTTATTTATCTCGACTTCCGCTCTTTATTAGTAAAACGCAAGTGCAAGATCAGAAAAAAAATCTGTTGGACGTGATTTTATTTATAGATTTGTGGCACACGTACTTTGATTAATGATGAACATCTTTTTCCAGGCCTTGAATTTGATGCTAATATCAAGCCTCTTTTCGTTAAGGTATGTGAAACAAGTACATTAGTCATTGTTTATTAAATGTTAAATGCCTTTACTTACTATTGTCTCATTTCATAACAGGGTCAATTTGTCTCAGAAGATGCCCACAAGACCGATAGTAAACAGAAGCTCAAGAAACAAATTGAAGAAGCTGCTACATTTTCTCGCATGTCTTCCAACCTGGAGGAAATGATGAAGTGGTGCAGATCCCAGAGGAAGGACAAGACAAAACGTCTCCTCACCTTTCTGCTTTTAAAGTGCCGGAGGATGAAATGTCTGGAGGCAGCGGGAAACAAGTAAGAACAACAACAACAAAAAACATTAAGTTGAACTTCCTACTAGCTCACGTTACATTCCAACGCTCCAATTCTCATACAGTCTTGTCTGTCCTCAGCATGCAGAGGAAACTACGAGTCTTCAGACAAGAAGTTTCCTGGACGTTATCTCCTCGGGGATCAGGGGCAAAGAGGAGAACTGCTGGCCTGAGAAGTCGTCTGCAGTCACTCAAGACACAATTTGTGTTGTCTAAAATCAGGGCTTGTGTAAAAAAGAGAAGAATGAATAGGCGACGGAAAGAGACTGGGCTGCCAGTGTGCTTTAACGATTACCTACAGAGCAAGGCACATGAAGCAACACTTCACATCACTGACTCTGATGGCTCTGATGACATAGATGATATATTCGCTTCTGCTGGTTTATGAAACTTTAAACATACCGGATGGAGAAAATAACAAAATAATTACAGCAACAAGTTTTTCTGGTTTTATTTGAATAATAGGGTTTTGTTTCTACCCTGGTCTTAATAAAGTGCACATTTAATGCATGCTAAATTAATGCCATATGTCATTTTAAGGGCTTTTTTAAGTGTTTTCTGGTATTAGAACAGGATAAATCCCTGAATTGTCAAGTGCAGCATGGATTTCAGCTGTTTTATTTATTTATTTTTTTTGCCCCTGTTTCCTTATGCTGGACTCCGAGCTAAAGCTCTGTCACTATATTAAATCTGTTCAGGTGTTTGAGAAATCTCAGCAGATACAATTGAAAACACAAGGAAAAACAATTTATTTAATTTATCAACGGAAAAAAAGTTGTCCAAACCAGATCTATGTGAAAAGTGTGTGCCCTTGTTATTTAAAACTGAATTAACTTTTTTTTAAGCTAAATTACATTTCACATGCACACCCAGACCTGATTACTGCCAGACCTGTAGAATAAAGAATCCACTTAAGAGACATTATCCACAAATGGAGGAAACAACAGAGTAAACCTTACTGGATGTGATCGACCAAAATGACTCCAAAGGTACATCACTGGCTCGTCTAGAAGGTTCCAAAAGAACTCAGAACAACATCTTTTGTCCTGCAGGCCTCACGTGCACCTGTTCAAGAACTGGACGACTTGCCAAAGACGAAGGAACCATGAATTTTGTTCTCTACCATAAAATCCTGAAAGATGATGTCCGTCCATCGGTCCATGACTTGAAGCTCAGACGCTCTTCTGCAGTAGAACAATGATCCAGCAGCAACGTTCCTCCACAGCCATGTGGCAGACTTGTTGCAGTTGATCTGTAATGTGAAAAGGCAAAAAGAAAAATATCTGAGGGGCAACACTTTTCACAGTATTGTGGCTTTTCATCTTTTTTTTTTTCTTTTTTTTTACAATTGATAAATGGGGCATTCTGGGGAAGTTGGTCGCCCTGGTTCAAATCCTGGCCAGGGGCCTTTCTGGGTGGAGTTTGCATGTTCTCTCCGTGCATGCATGGGTTTTCTCCGGCTATTCCGGTTTCCTCCCGCAGATGAAAAACATGCATGTTAGGCTGATTGATAACTCTAAATTGTCCCTATGTGTGAGTGAGAGAGAGAATGGTTGTTTGTCTCCATATGTGTCCCTGTGATGGACTGAAGACCTGTCCAGGGTGTCCCCTGCCTCTCGAGTAACTGCTGGCACCAGTGATCCCCATGACCCAATAAGGAAGAAGCGAGTAAAGATGATGGATGGAAGATATTTTGAATATTCTGTCTTTATCTCAAATGTAAAAATATATATATATATGATGAGAAAGTGAAATATTTACTGTTTACTGAGCGCCAAGTGAATATCTGCAATAGCAATTTTTAAAGCTTGAGTCACATTAGTTCTGCTTCAGTGGATGAAGGAATTTTCTCCTTTCCCTCAGCAAAGAGGTATGTAACAGCATATGACTAAATAAATAGTTCCCTGTGGACCTATAGCTGAGCTCAGTTTTGAAACTGCATATTTTTTGATGTTCCAGCTGAGATTCAGTGAACACAGTTATAGATTTTGAGGATAATGTGTCCTGAAGGAGAAGATAATGCAAATTCTGAACTCCTATTGTCCTGTTCTGTTTACTTTACACCTCACATTAATGGAAGAAAGAAAGCAGAACATAACATTTTAAGAATTTTTTATTTTTTTTGTGTGGAAAATAAATCACACCTTTACCACCTCAGACATTAAATAAAGCCAAGTAAATCACTGGAGTCAATCGTAACTTATCAAGTTTTTTAAACTTCATCTAAGGCATGAAATTGCAGCATGAGTTGTGCTTTAACTTGTGCAGACATAACTACACTTACAGGTCAAATTCCTCAAAATATTTATTAGAATCAAACCTGACCCTTCATTTTTCTTTGACTGGAAACCAAAAGTTATCAAGAATTATATTTTGAAAACTGAATTTAAAGCTGAGTAAAATAAGAAATCGTTTTTGTTTGTCAAAATCCATTCAGTTATTTCCTATTAGCTCAATAGATTTGACTATTACTTGAGACCAATTTAAAAAACGAAAAAAGGATTTTTATAGATGTTGGCCAACTGAAAAGTGTGAACATGGTACCATGGTCCTTGCAAAAGGAGCCCCAACCAAGTAATGAATGATACATTTCATTTTTCATACTTTTCAGTTGGGCAACATCTATAAAAAATCCTTTATTTATTTTTTTATTTAAATTGATCTCAAGTAATATTCTAATTTTCTGAGATACTAAATTTAGGGTATTCAGTAGTTGTCAGTTATAATCATCAACTTTAAACTATTTGAAATATATCAGTCTGTGTGTAATGACTGAGTACAAGTTTCACTTTTTGAATGGAATTACTGAAATAAATCAACTTTATTCAAAATGTTATGACCAGCACACTTAAATAAATAAAAAAATTGTGTATGGTAATTGTGGTGAGGGGACTGTAATTTTATATAGCTTTTATTTCTCGTGTTGCTAGTTCAGCTATCCGAAAATGACAATGAAGGCATGTTAATTTTTTTATTTTTTATGTTAAGTACAGACCAACGCTATGTGAGCTGTGTATTTTTATAGATTTGTTTGTGTACATTGTGATTTGCCACCAGTTGATAAGCTCCCTGTTAATTCTAAAGTTTTTTTTTTTTTTTATAAGGTATTGAAGGTGGACTTTTTTTTTGTTTGTTTTTGCCACCATTGTTACGCTACTGTTCTGTTAATCCTTTAAATTGTATTAAATAAAGAAGATAAATGAAAAAATTAAGGAGTGATTCGTAAAGTCTAATCCAACTGTTTCTAGGACCATGTTTCCTGCTGCACAATGGGTGGTCAAATGAACTATTTCCCAGCTTCAGTCGCAGTTTTAAAGTATTTTTCATATACATAGCATAGAAGCAGCATTTTTTAAGAGACTAAAGTAAGTTAAATATAATAAGAGCCTATTTAAAATAATAAATATAGTTAGTTGACGTGGAAAAGACGTCTATATTAACATGTCAGATAGACGTCGAAACTAGACGTCTAAAAAAGACGTCTATTGACCACGTCCGCTACACGTCGGAAAAAGACGTCTTATAGACGTCGGAAAAAGACGTCTTCTGCCGTCACAGTCTGCACCTCCGAGGGACCCAATTTAGACGTGCAGAAACGACTTAAAAAAGACGTTGTTTAGACGTCTCCTTGCTCAGTGGGTATAAGTTATATTATTAGGCTTTGAATTACTTGTTTAAAATAAAAAAGGTGAAATGATATCAAATTTTACAATTTAACATTTCACTTTTACATTTACTGTTTTCTTCTAACTAAATACAATTTCAGTCCTTCATTTTATGTACTTTTTATCTTTTTTAAAATTTCATTTTACTTGATCAATAATAATTATATCGTGACATTAACAATATTTTCCATTCATTTTTCATATACTTCAGATTTAAACTTTTTTCCCCCCTTTTGGGAATCGAATTTTCTGAAGTGAATTTTGTTTGAAACTTAAAAAAATGTATGTTTTTACTATCCTGATGCATGCGGGTAGAAAAAAAAAGTTAACTCCGACTCAGGACGGATTCTTCTATGTATGGTTTATCTATGGTTTTACTGTCGTCTTCTTGCCTACATGTTTGTTTGTTAACATAATTCAATAAAGCTTTTAAAAAAATGGCATTGACGTCACTTCCCGTCATCTCTCTTTTCACTTCCGGAAGGTGGGGTTTTTGTTACAGGAGCGGTTTGTTTTCGGGGAGCCAATGCGGTGGTCCGTGCTGCTAAAGCACTCAGCAAGATAGCATCAACCAAAGGCAGCAGTTCAGCTTTGGTAAGATTTTAAATGTTTATTTTTATTAAGCGATATAGTTCTATAAACGTGTTCAAGTTGAAAAGAGTATAGGGAATAGCGTAACCACACCTGTTTAAGGGCGAGTGACTACTGTCCTCAACGGACTGACCTAACATAAATGGGTTCTAATCTAAACAACTACTACATACTAGTATTTAATTAGTTTAAATTAAAATGCGTGGTATTGATTTTCGCTACCACTTATGTCCATGTACAGGAAAAAAAAAAAAGTGTTGTGGTAATGAAAGTGCTGTGGACGTTTTCGGATAACATTAGCTGTCAGAATTATCCGTTCAGGTCGAGAACTACTACAAGTGCTGAAAAGTTCTGAGTCTCTGAGAAGAGGACACACCCAAGCGACCTAATGATTTCTTCTGCTGGTGTTGTTGTAATTCTAAATGTCAGCAAAGAAACAACTAGCTTCCCTAATGTAAATGTATCCATACCACACATTGCACCACTATTGCTGGTATTATCACATCTTACGTTAAGTAGCATTTAAATTGTAAAGTTCTAGTGGTTGCGGCACAAAGTGTACATTGTAAAGGTTAAAGCTTTTCGGACAGTTGACAGTGAATTGTTTACATATAAACGTAATGCTTTGAGATGCAGGATTGTGTTTTCAGCATGCTCGAGGGGGGAGAGGTCAGTCAGTCCTTGCCAAAGCAATATGTCCTTGTTCCGTTATTAATAGGCTATTTTTGGTGCCAGGGGAAGTGGCAAATTTAATTCAGCATTCAGATTCACAAGTTGGTTGTGTTGCATGTCTAGATTAAGTGATCTGCACAACACTGTTGTTTGAGATTCTACTTTAGCATGACCATGCAGTTGTCATCACAAACAACTCGTGAACACAATGCTGACCTCAGCACATTCACTACAAGTTTAAGGAAACAAGCTCGGGAATTGCTTGGCAGTCTTGTAGGGCTGTCTCTGTATTTAAAAACGAATCATCGTTTTGAGCTCGTGATGGCTAATGCTGTTTATGGGCACTACTACTTCTCACTTAAATATCAGAATAACTCGTTTTAGTAAACTCTGTTTCTATAGGGCTCACTGATTTTGTTTTTGACATTTTAGCTGGTATCAACACTGGTGTCTTAAAACATTTGGTAACGATTAGTGGGATTTTTAATTTTTCATTATAATCAACTTGAACAGCATGACATTATCTGAATGGGTAACATTATTATTATGTATTTATTTATTTTTGTAGCCCACTTAAAATACAAGCATAATTACAAGAAGTGCAACAGGTGTGAGTCTGAAGAACCAGTTATTCTATTTCCCACAAAGAAGAGGAACAAGTTATGCAAATATATATTTGAGGAACATTGTAGTATTTCACTTTTTTTTAACTATTCATATGTATTAATTGCCGTTAACCCACTGGTGGCAACTGGAACCTGTTAGCCAGACTTATTCAGAAACTACCTGTAACAACTGATTTCTACATTATGACTATGTTTCCCTGCCTTAAACACTGATTATATGAGGAAGGGAACTGTACAATTGTATTAATCTATTAGAAAATAGTTTTGTTTACCATATTTATAATGACACCAAAATGTTTTTGCATGTATATATTTTATGAAGAATGAGATTTCTTTGTATTTTAATCACACTTGAGTTTTTGTATTCAGCAGAGATATGAGTTTAATGTTAGTACCCAGATTAATGAATGAGACATTTTTACAGGAGAGATCTGAGATCCCTCTCATCACTTTTCTCAGCCTCTTTTGATTTATACATTGTCCTGGACTGTTTTTCCTGTAGTCAAGGCCATACTTTTACGTGGGTTGTCTTCTGAAATGTGTCTGTGTTTGCCTGTTTCTGTAAAAAGCTTGTGGCACAGACCAGAAGAATTGCTTTTATATAACAGCTTGCTATTCTTGCTGTTACTTCAAATGTGTACAGGTTAGTAGGTTTAAAAAAATGTTTAGGGGGAAAATGGGTCAGTCTTGATGAAACTGGACTTCGAAATGCAGGTTCATGACAGAGTTGTAATAGATTTTAAAATGGTTTACTGATAGACCCCAAAATTGTGTGTCAGCGATTAGAAATGTTCTTGCATGTGTATGTTCAGCAGTTACACCCAAATTGCACAATATAATATGACATAATACTTCAAAGATCCATTAAAAAAAGGGAATGTATTGAACATATACAAAATGTTCAGGGTTGCAAAATTGTCCAACTCATTTGCTTCCAACTAAACTGAATAGTTTTTCCAGCTGTTTTCAGGCATGACATAACGGGTCAACCAGAACGAAAACCTTGATAGTAATGATCTGAAACGGCATGACGCTGAGTCTGACATAATTTCGTCATTAAAACAATTTCCCTCTTGCGTTTGTATTCTAGGACAGTAGTCTGGTTTAATGGCCTTGTTTAGCTTTAACCATCACTTAAATGAGCATGTAAATGCACTAACTGTTAAGCTATAAGTGACAATGCTACATACATAAAATATTAATTATTAGATTAAAATCGACCTTTAGAGCCTCTGTAAAGTTGTGAGATTTTCAAATTGTTTTTCTTTTTGTTTGCTTATTAATATCATACATTATGTCTAATTAATTTTAAACAGTGATGGTTCTGCAAACTCTTGTCTTTGTGTGGGTGGTATGTAACGGAGCCTGTTCTCTATCCAGGGAATGGAAAGGGCACTTAACACGTTGGTGATAAGGAGTTTACTTCTGGCTAGCAGCAAAACATGGACTTGTCAGTAAATGCATGGTAAAAACATAACTTCTTCTTTTCCATCCTGAATCAGCCCAGTGGAATAACTATAAAATGGGAGGAAAAATGGGTTAGGGGTATTTGAACATGACAAAAAGCAGTCACCTAAAAATCTAGTAGAAAATATATGTTTAATGTATAACAGAAATAGTTTAATGTATACAACACTTCTCTGTGTTGATGAAGTAGGAAGGATTGCAACACGGAGAGGATTTTAAGTCCGTTGCCCAGTTTTGTCAAAGGCATATCTGTGTGTTCCCACAAGTGAGGGGTTGTTAGTATGCACCGTTGGGTGAAAATGTCCTCCTTGCTGCTGTAGCCGTTTTTTTTAAGTATAGTAAATCATTTTCTCATCTCCACAGGCAATGACTATTATAGCTGCTATATCTGAAAGACCAAACACATTTCTGCTAGCTCCCTGTAGGGGTTTGTTCTTAAATTATGCATTGTTTGTTTCACTGTGATAAACAAGTTGCAGTCTTAAACCCTGGTTGTGTGCCACAGAAAACCCAGTTTTAGTCCAACACCATTACTACGACTAAACCAGGTTTCATTGCTTTGTCCACAGCAAGATGAGAGTAAAGTTCTTCATTTTTGTTTCACTGGAATTTGTTTTGGGAGTGGTAGAAATTGGATAGGATACACCGAGGCGTTTGATTCACTGGTGTTGCATTAGGGTGAGATCGTCTTGGCAGCAGACATATTAAGGGGAAACTTGGAAGTAACACAAGCAAGGAGGAAAAGGGAGAGACCGTTTATAAGTAATGATAGGATAATGTTTGTTCAGAGTTTTCAATTTACTTTTTTTTGCCTGCATAGCATCAGTCAACATGGTGATGCTTGTATTTGTCATCATTTGGTAGCGTTGGACTGTTTTGATTGGCTTAGCCGACAATTGTTGAATATAAGACAAAAAGCAGATGAACTCTCTCTCTCTCTTACTGATCATCATAATTTAAAGTTTGTAAGCGAGCCAAAAAAATACTGTTTTCTACATTAGTTAGGAAATCCCCAGGACTAAAATCTTTGGATTCAAAACTTTCCAGGCATTAAAGTTCAGATGGCTTGAATTATTATGTTCCTCTCTTTGTGGAATGTGAAGACTTGCACATATCTTGTAAATGTTAAAATGTTCCATTTTTTTTTTCCTTTTTTTAGTATTGACACTCGGATCAGATGAAAGATGTAAAAACGTACATTACATCTATGTGTATTATATCACTTTGACATTATCTAAAAAAAAAACTGAATTGGAAGAAATAAAAGTAAAAGCTGTTATTTTAAGAAACAATTCTTCACTGTTTTCGAGTGCTTTTACAATCAGCTGTTTGTGATTTAACCATGAATTGATTCTACACTGTGTTAACCTAATTAAAGCATACACTTGGTGGAGAGTTGTCCGACCTGGCCCCAGCCCACAGTCATAATTTCCGAACCCCACCCGACGAATTAACAGTAATTACAGGTCCGATCCCAGAAAATACATTGTTAATTAGTTATTAACGGTCAGCTGAATAAACAGAGCAGAAGATTCGGAGCTGAGAGGTGTTTGTACTTTCATGGCTATAAAAAAGCATTTAAACCTCGTTTCTGCCTGCATTCTTGTGAATTACTGACACACGTGTCTGCTTTGGGATCTCACCTGTTTGGGTCGTCGGCCGCGTGCGTCCGCTGAGTGCAGCGGCTGAATGAGTGTCCATTTGGGCGATTGATCGCTTCCTGGCAGTATAGTCCCATCTGAAGCTTAACAGAACTTTTTACCTCTTTCAAGGCCGGTCAGCTCGCTGTGAAATGACCATGTGCGGCTGGTGATTGTATGGCAGGCCATGTTATCATATAATTGGATCGTGGCTGATTCTGACCTAATTAAAAGCCCGAGACTGGCCCAGCCCGCCCATTAATCACAGTATAACGGCCCGGCCCTAATCCAGGCCGGGTTTCGGGTTTGGGTTAGAAATGACAGCTCTAACTTGGTGGCCATGTATGTATTTACAGGGCTGGGCAATATTATCGTTTCACTTTGTTTGGGTAATGATTTGTTAGTGTCTTTGCAAGTCCAAACAAAAACTTAAAAATAGTCCTAACAAATTTTTGTTGCCAACATTGTCATTAATTTTTCAGAACTGTTGCTATCAAAGTGGTTTTACACTTTATCCTCCTTTTTCTTAGTGCTTCATACCCCAAAAGGCCATCAATCATGTATGCTTTTCCATAGTACTGGTTTATCCATCATGTTTTTTTTTTTGGTTTGTTTTTTTCCCTTTGCTCCCAATTTCAGTTCCCCATGAAGAGCTGATTATAAAGCCGATCTTATCATGATAAGAGTACCCCTTCCTTTAGTGTTTGAGCATTTGGTCATTTTAACTTTGCATTCAGTTTGATTTTGGTTCCTTCACAGGATTGCCATCTGTGCTTGTGCACAGGGAAGTGGGTTACGTCATGTGAATAATTGAAATAGTGACCCATATACATAAGTGCTGATTTCTGCAAGTTCTGTCAAAGGTGTGTAATTGTATGTGCATTTTTGTGCGGGTATCCTTCCTACGAGTCCTTTCACTGGCCTTGTTAAGAGTAACAAAGACAGGAAGGGCGCAGGTCAGGCTTCACTTTCTGTTTAGAGTAGAATTATGATGCCACATCCTCAGTTTTAATAAATATCACTATGCTGACATTTTTTTAACTGACGTTAATGTGATGAAAAATATGTGCTACTGTTCGCTACTGAGAAATACAGCAAAGTTTTCTTATACTCTTAAGACTCTTTCATTTGTAATGAAACAATTCTTGAAGCTTTTTTTTCCCTCTTTTTTGTATTTAGTAGCACTTTTCTCTAACTTCGTCTGACCATTGATATTTTGTGCTGGTTTCAAGTTGCTGAAATGTTTATTGTAAGGGAGGAGCAGGTTATGAATATGGCTATGAATCAGTCCAGTGCTTCGATTAGTGTGACATACCAGGAGGAGGGAGTAATCCTTCTTGCTGTACAGATAAAACGAAGTTAGAAACAAAGTTAGGGATAAACAGAAGTTGAGCATTGTGGTATTGCAACATTGTTTTGTTTTACAACGAAACAGCTCTGGATATATCAGTACTCTGATCTTAGCTGTCAGTTGTTGGAGTGTTTGTTGTCTGCATAGGTTAGGGTTCATCTCACAATGAAGGTGACAACAGTAACGATGTGGCAAAGTAAACATGCGGTGGTGCTGAGTTTACGGGCACAATGGGCCCAAGTGTAGCTCATTTTGTTGATCGCTCTCTATCCAGCACCTGCAAGAAACAACCAGTAAAAAGACACAGAGACTCCAAAGCCCAGGCAAAGGGGTATCCTGGCATCAAACATTTTATTTGTAAACGCTAAAACAAGTTTAGTTATCCAGTGTCCATCGTCTTATTCTTAAATAGTTTCAAGTTGATATAATCATATGGTGATGTCCCCAGTAAGAGACAGGAAGGCAAAAAGATTGTCATTCAAAAAATACAACCTCTTCTAGTTTTTCAGTCACTGTAGCCACATGCTTGAAAAACACACGATTTGAATTAGTTTCACCCAACAGAAACAGTGAATATATGAAAATTCATATAGTTCAGCTCTTTATACCGTACTTGCCGCTGTACATGTCACACCGCCGTATAAGTCGCATCAGTCCAAATATGTCTAAAGTGTAAAAAACATAAATAAGTCACTTGGCCATATAAGTCGCATCTATTATGTGTCACTACTGACACGCCACGTTTGTTATGCATCACCTTTGATCACCCGGAAATGTGGGCCAGTGTTGTGCCAAAAATTGATTGGCTGCCAAATGGCGGCCACGGGAGTGTGCTCGGGAGGACTTTAACAAGAATTTAACAAGATTAACACTTAAAAACAATTATTTGTTTGCTTGAAATTATAGCAAAGATGTGTCTTAGTTTAACTTTTCCTTAATAAATGCACTTTGACGGTCAAATCAGCTGCATTTCAATAATAGATTTGTGGGAGCACACAGAGGGAGGACTCGCTGTGCATTTTGTCGAAATTTAACAAGATAACCACCTAAAAACAATTTGTTTGCTCAACATTATAGTATAGGTGTGTCTCAGTTGAATGTGTCCTTAATAAATGCACTTTAATGGTCAAATCAGCTGCATTTCGCCTGGGCGGCGCAGCAAAATGCAGCTGATTTGATGTTTGCTGCAGGAGTTCCTGAGTGAGACGAAGGTGGCTTTGTATGGCAAGTAAGTGTCTCATTAATATCCACTTTTACTTAATAATGAGACACTTGGCTTACCATATTGGTGGAGGGCCCTCTAGCGGCTGAAAATGGTAGTGTTCAATATTTTCCCTGTCAGGATGAATGAAATTGTCAAATCTCAGCCAAAAATTGGGTTATAAATATGGGGGAAAACGTATATTAGTTGCTTCAGTGTATAAGTCAAAGGACTTGAATATTTTTTGCAAAAAGTTGTGACTTATACGGCGAAAAATACGGTATTTGTTAAAGACGTAATTATCAAACCTGAGTTTCTTGGTCACAGTTTGTTTAGGGTCAGTGGGTTTTAATTAAATAGGGTTGTCTCTCTTGTAAATTAGACAGTTTGTCATACAAAAAAAAAATCGATTTAACAATTTTATTTAAGGCACTATACCCTGTAAACATACTATTTTTTTTTTAAATAATTTACCCAAGTTTTACAACAATGGTTATTTTACTTTAAAATTAGTATTGGAACAAAAAGGAAACAACTCTATTTATCTTTTAGGGCTGTTAAAACCAAAACTTTTGATAACAAATGTTCACAGCAGCGAACAAGAAGGAAAAGAGATGATGTCATTCAAAAAGTGTAACCTCTGCCAGTTTTTCAGTCACAGCCAGCCACATGCTAGGGATAAAAACAATGGAAAAACCTACAATTTTAGTTAGTTTCACCCAGCACCTATATATCTTGGAGTTGTGTGATTGTTAATTGTGACATGTTTCGTTTTGAACCCTGTGCTCACTTGGCACTCTTTAATTCATGTCCACACAGTTGGTATAGCAGGCATCACTGAAGTCAGCCAGGCACTCTTTTTAAAAAGTTATATGGATATATTGAAGTCGGGCAAAAAGCAATTGACTCTGAGCTTTCACCTTTTGAGGGCAAGGCCCTTTTACAGCAGATAGATGGCCAGTCACTTCTTCTAATGAGTTTAGCACATGATGCCCTGTTTAATGCTTCTGTAAATGCTGCCTTACTGTGCAGAATGATGGCTTTATTACTTCTGATCAGTTGCAATGACCTTTTGATGGCAAACTTTATAAAGTTCTTGGATTCACGAGTAGGCAATTTGGCACCTAAATGGGAATGGTGAGGGTTAAGATTCAAGATTTGCTGGAGCACAGCCTAGAGCCTTGGCACACTGCGTTACTGTCACAGTGAGGGCCGTTAAGTAACAACTGCCATCTGCCCATTACTTTTATGGATTCTCCTTATTGAAGTTATTTACTAAGGGGACTGCTAAGGTTCTTCTGTTGTCATTCACAGGTTGTGTCCGTGTGCATGTGTGGGTGTCTGTGTGTGCGAGTGTGCACATGTGTTTGAGTGTGTGAGAAAGGCACGAGGAAGATTCTGGCTATGGCTACCAATAAAGGTAAAAACCATAGCTCTCTGGCATTGCACAAGGTGATAATGGTGGGAAGTGGAGGTGTTGGAAAGTCCGCTCTGACGCTGCAGTTCATGTATGATGAGGTGAGTTTATACTTCTGTCAGTTAAGTCTAAGCTCATTTTAATGAGTGTGAAAGTACAACCATGTTTACCTCAGAGTTCCTAAAAGGATTCAATAAAACTTGCGTCTTTAAGGGCTGTAGTGGTCACAGTTCAGTTCTCCTTTTTTAGCTGCAATATATGTTTTGTTGTTATTGTTTTCATTGCTGTGTTTGTTTCCCCCATGCCCACTAGTTGTGCTTATGGTGGCTGTGCTATAACATACACATGTTTGCAGCTGATTGAATAAACAGAATGCATCTTCTTCTCTTTAGTTCGTTGAGGACTATGAGCCCACCAAAGCAGACAGCTACAGGAAGAAGGTTGTCCTGGATGGGGAGGAAGTCCAAATCGATATCCTGGACACAGCTGGCCAGGAGGACTATGCTGCTATCAGGGATAATTATTTTCGCAGCGGGGAGGGCTTCCTGCTAGTCTTCTGTATCACAGAGCAAGAGTCCTTCAGTGCCACTGATGAGTTCAGGTAATGATGCAACGATGTAAGCATGTTAATTTAACACTTAATAAAGTTTTAATAAAGTTTAACCACATTGTCAAGACGGTACCTACATTTTAAATAGTATACATAAAAATATGATCTGATGCATGCTCAATAATCCAGGTAGATAAATCTAACAAGGTTAAGACAGGTCCTCTGGACGGATTCTTCTTTGTTGAAACATTTTGTCTTATCCAAAACACTTCTCCAGTCCAGATCCATTCAGAGGACCTGACTTAACCTTGTTAGATAAACATATGTTCTTCTCTGGAATCAGTTTTAATTAATTAATTTATTTTTTAATTTTATAACTGCATTTATTTATATTTTTTTCTTTGTGAATAGTCATCTGTAAATTTGTTGCTACTGTACGGAAACATATTTGTGCCTTTACACTGGATTTATTATTTTCACTTGCAAAATAAATGTGCATTGAAGTGTTTGTAAAAAAAAAAACTCCAAAAAAACTGTAGTTGCTCAGCCATGGTGCAGCTTCTCTTCTAACCATCCAAAGTTTCCTAATTAAGCTCCTCTTATGACGCCTGTTATAAAAGATGCACTGCCCCAGTCAAACTCCCCAACCGCCACTGACCATGGAGCATGTCATGCCAACATGAGCTGAGCATTTGACGCCACACAGGCTTGCCTCTCCAGAAAAGTGTGGGGGGTAAAATAGTTGAAGCATTTTATTGTGACCGATTGAGCAATAACAGGTCTGTAATGTCCTTAGTTGTCAAGAGGTGCATCCTACCTCACTAATTAATGAAATACACCTGCAATCAATGCATAAATGCACACAAACCTCACACATTGAAGGCTGGTGTTTTGAAATGAACGCTGCAGGAAAAGGTGGGTGGAATGCAAATGGAGGTGGTCGACAAAATAAAGTTTAGGGTCTAGAATATTCTGTTGCAAACCATGCACACGAAAAAAAAAAACTGGATTTTCAAAATGTGGTTGTGTATATTGGCCTGTTGTTGGCTTGAATAGAAACTATGGACTGCCATAAAAATCTGCCTCTTTTTTTTTTTTTTTTTTTTACAGTTCTTAATGGTTAGTCTTGGACTAGTCTCAAACTGTTGCAGCCATGTGAGATACTCTCTTTAATGCTGCTGAATGTGAGATGTATTTGTAAAGAGGATGATTTTCTTGCTGGAATAATTTTTATCTGCCAGACTATGTAAAAATAGGTTTTACACACTTTTAGTTCATATAAACACTGCCTGACAAAAAAAAAAAAGTTGCCACCAAAAAAAGGTCACACTAATATTTCGTTGGACCACATTTAGCTTTGTTCACGTCATGCATTCACTCTGGCATTGTTTCGATAAACTTCTGCAATATCTCAAGATCTATTTCCATCCGGTCTTGCATTCTTTTTTTCACCAAGATCTTGCATTGATGACTAGACACTAGGCATGATGGGTGCATCACTTCACCTGCCTCTCTTCTTACCCTGTTGCGTCCATCACTCTGGAAAAGGGTAAATCTGGACTCATCAGACCACATGACCTTCTTCCATTGCTCCAGAGTCCAATCTTTATGCTCCCTAGCAAACTGAGGTCTTTTGTTTCCAGTTAGCCTCACTGATTAGTGGTTTTCTTAAGGCTACACAGCTGTTCATTCCCAATCCATTGAGTTCCCATCACATTGCACATGTGGGAATTCTTACTTTCACTATTAAACATAGCCCTGAGTGCTACTGTTGTTTTTCTTCAATTTGATTTCACCAAACGTTTAAGTGATCCCCGATCACAATCATTCAGGATTTTTTTCTGGACACATTTCTTCCTCAAAGACGATGGGTCCCCACTATCCTTCCAGTTTTTAATAATGCGTTGGACGGTTCTTAACCCAATTTTAGTAGTTTTTGCAATCTCCTTAGATGTTTTCTCTGCTTGATGCCAATGACTTGACCCTTCTCAAACAGACTGACCTCTTTTCCATGACCACGCCATGTCTTTCAACATGGTTGTTTAAGAAATGAGAAGCAACTCATTGCACCAGATGGTGTTAAATAACTTCTTGCCAGCTGAAAGATAATCGCTCATGCAGTAATTATAAAAATAGGAGGCTCGTACCTATAATCCAGGTGGCAACTTTTTTTTTTTTTTGGCCAGGCAGTGTATGTATGCCATACATTACAGAAATAGGCTGATTATAAAAAAAAATCCCCTGGATTAGTTTACAAAGTGCCCTAATTCACACAGTCTGTTTGGTTCTGGCAGGGAGCAGATCTTGAGGGTGAAGGCAGAAGAGGACAAGATTCCTCTCCTGCTGGTAGGCAACAAGTCTGACTTGGAGGATCGTCGGCAGGTGTCAGTGGATGAGGCCCGCGGGAAAGCCGAAGAGTGGGGCGTCCAGTATGTGGAGACGTCAGCCAAAACTAGAGCCAACGTGGACAAGGTGCTGCTGCTCACACATTGTATTTGGTTTAGACATCTGTTGCAGAAGTTTTAGGTATTTCCGATGAAGTGGAGATAATTTCAGGAGTTAAGTCATCAATAGTTTTTTGTTAATGTAGAACAAAAGTAAAACTGGATCCATTTAATGTGTTCGGCCTTTATTTTGAAGGCAAGTTGATCCAAGCATCTTTGAAACTTGCTACAGCTTGTCTGGTATTTAGTTATCTGATAGTATGCAATTCAGGACTCAATAAGATCTCTGTGTATGAATCCTGGTTCCTTCTCATTTCTTTATTCTTGTGGCTGTAAGTTAGACGTCACAAAAATAAACTGATGACCAATAAACCACTTTATCTCTGATGTAACTGACAGATTCTATTCTTAACTCACCTTTAACTTCTGCACGGTGACAGTCATTCGTGATTGAACATCTCTTTAAAATGTTAAAGTAAAAAATAAAAAAAATAATAATAATTTTCTCCTCAGGTATTTTTTGACCTGATGCGTGAAGTACGAGGAAAGAAAATGTCTGAAAACAAGGACAAAAACGGCAAAGGGAAGAACAAGAAGAGCAAGAAGAGCTTCAGAGAGAGATGCTGTTTACTTTGAACTCTTCATGGACCTAAACAAGCCACAAGACGACTAATGCTGGGGAACGAAGCAGTTCTCTTTCACCGTCGTTCAAGTGAAAATTGATTATTTTTTTAATAGCTCATGATAGATTAGTGTGTAGAACAATCTCAACCACTATGTTGCCAATTTTATTGCTGATGATTTGATTTGGGGGTCTGACTGGAAGATGACCACTGTTGTGACTGTGACTTGGACTGCAGTGCTTTATAGCTCATAGGAAGCTAATGACCAAACTGCCAATGACACTAACTCTGCTGCTCAAGACATCTTTCTGTTTAACTCAGAATTATATTACGTTTAATGTTGGCTCTGTGCATTTTTAAGGAAACTCTGCTTTTAATTGTTTAGCCCTTATAAACTTTGCATATTTGTTCTGAGGACATAATTCTATATTCATGAAACTTTGAGGAATGCTACTGTTTGCATTTCAAACAATGTTGGTATCATTCATTAACCTGTTTAGACTCTTGCCTTTGCAACATGGGTGGGTTTAGAGCGGTTGTTGCTTTTTCAAGTTTTATTTTATTAGTTTTTTTTAATTTTTGTTTTGTTTTTTCAAATTCATTACGTGGGTTTGTGACTTTTATGCCCACAGAAGGTTTATAAAGTGCAATGCAATCGGGAGTCCTTGCCAAACGGGCACGTTTCTCATGTCTGATTTCATTTCTGTTTTTCACCAACATGATTGCAACAATTCAATCATAAAACCACTTTACAGTTAATCAGAAATGAAGCTGCAAAGTCAAATTGTTGATGACTGAAAATACGAGCATATATCGATAACTTGGTCTTACTCGCCGGAGCTTCTTTTGGAGATCTTTTACTACAAAGGATTGTGATGTAATTACTAATCCATTGGAGGTAATTTGAGTCAGAAAGAAGAGAGAGCTCACCTGATATGTTTTATAGGTCAGTGTAATGTAAACGTCCTCCCAGGGCAGTTTTTGTCATTCAGGGCTGTTGAAGTTCGGAGTCGTTGCTGGCTCTGCGCTGTGCCGGCTGTTGACAATCGTTCAAGACTAACCTGTCTGGATTATGCTCAAACTGATGCTAATTGTAAAAAAATAAAATAAATCACATGCTTTAGTTCATTTTAACAAAATAGCATTACATTGCTAATTTTTAAGAAGACAACTTTAGTTGAATTGATCATTCTTTTAAAAACGTACCAACAAAATTATGAATTGAACCACTTGTGTGGGCTTGCATTACATACGTTTCTTAAATGTGTATTTGCCAGAAAACTACTACCTTATTGTGTCTTGGAGCAAAGCTATGCTTCAGAACTGTTTAATCAAGTGCTACAATAACAAAATGTTTCCACCACTGCCTAAACTGTTATTCGTAACACCTTTTTTTTGTTCCTTTTTATCTGTTCCCCTGTAGGTATGCTTCTGTCTCCCTGCAGCAAGAGGGCTGCAGAATAAATGTTCCTCTTCTTTATTGGCATTGTTTTATGTCCTTTTTAAGCGACTGTATGCATTTCACAAATTTATCTTTGAACCATAGGTATGATTGATTTTAAACTGGGTACAATCGGTGCTTAATTTGAGCTGGATCTTGCTGGAACACGATCCAGGAATTCTTATTTTGATGAGGTGCGTTCCGGTGACTGCTTGGATCCAGTAACTCTCAGGCTTACTAATAATAAAGTTCTGAACAAATTTGACAAATAAAACTTGTATTGGATATGTAAACTGAAAATATTTACGTAAACACTAATTTTAAACAACAGCCACTTACGAGCATACAAGCTGCCTCTTCAAGTAGCATGTCCAAGATGTGTTGGGCTAGGTACCGTCAAGTAAGGGGTGGGGGGGTAGGATGCTTGACAGAAGCAGTGTGTTTACAAATAAAGGTAAACATAGATTTTAGTCTGTAAAAATACACCAAAATACAGGAAATTGCATCTGCTTTATTCAAAAATTTCTGGGGGAGGACCCCCATACCCCCTGCTGGCCTGCCCGCTCTTTGCATTCCAGCATCAATTGGTTTACAAATTAAAAGCTCTGGGTACAATCTAATGAAGTTTAATTTGTTACCACTGCTGGCCCTTAGTATTGCACATCGCTCTCTGTTGGTGAGGGTTGGTATTGAAATGAACTACCGAGGATAAAGAACATGATGGTCGTTTCTTGGTTCCTTTGAGTCAGTCTTCCCTCTTTAGTCAAACAATCCGGCACTTACTCACTTTACATTTACTGTTTCTTTAACGGTCAAAAACGAAGTGCCAGTGGGCTGCTTTACTTGAGTGTGACAATGATACTCTACCAGCTTTTATATTAACCTCACAACCGTGCGTTACATGGCAGACTTGTGTAAGATCACCCCTAAGACAAAGTCCAATCGAGGGCTCTTGATGCAGAAGCCCCCAGGGGGTGTCCAGGTCAGTGAAGCTCATTTCACAGAGTGGAAACAGGGTTGACTTCATAGTCAGGCAAAGACTGACCATATGTCACTTTTAAAATTGGTTTGGTTTGAAGGACAATGAGACACGTGTTCCCTTGGTTTTATGTAGAAGGAAATGCCAGCAACTTCTTGTGACTACATCCACTTTAGTTAGACATGTGGGAAGCATCATGTATTGCAATACGTTTCAATGCATACTCCCTTAAAGACGTTAAGAAAAGGTGGACTCCAAACAAAGTTTATTTGTTTTCCGACTGGATGATTTTATTCTTTTTTTTTTTACTCAAAAGTAAGTTATAGTGACTTGTCCTCTTATTTATTATTTGAAAATTTCAGGGATTATTTTTTTCTCCCTTGTGATAATTCTGTGACATTGTTCAGTCGTCATCTTTCCAAGAACACTTGTTTTAGCATCAACTCATTGTTTTGATGCCAACACTTTAATATCTCCCTTGTCCTCAAATCAATCACTCATTGAAGCTCCAGCTTATTTTTTTTTCCCCTCCGCATCAGAGATAAGACTACGTTTCTGGTCTTGTGAAGAGAGCTGCATTTACTATTGATCAGGCAGGCCAACAACGGGGGATTCTTAAATCGGCGTTAACCTTTAAAAGAAAAGGTGCAGAGTGAAATACTTTGGAGATTTGAAGCTGTAACATCTATGGGAGCTGCTGCTCCACATCTGCTACATACAATATGTCACATAAATACATTAATCCCTTCATAATTTATATCAGTAGTGAAACCTGCTGGGGTTGGAAGCCTGTGGCAGACTTTCCACCTGAGAGGCTAAACATGTCACAGCACAGATAAGCACATTTAGCTGCCTGAAATTCACCTCTGGATTCCCACTCCTCGCCTGCAGAGTAAGTAGGCAGATTAGGTGGTCTGTTAAACCCACAGGAAAGCACTTATTTAGAAATACATGAAAGGGCAAAGTGAGCCAGGCTAATGACCGATGCCGTGTCACCGGCGCACTCTTGGGTCTTTTATCATTCTGGAGAGAAGGCCCCCGTCCTCTGAATAACCCTCATTATATCTGAGCTAATGTTGGCGATGAGGATGTTCAAGTGATAAAGCACCATCACAGCCCTTCATTATACAGAAAGAGAAACAGGCTCGGTGGAATTGTTCTCGACCTATAAAATAAATGCAATGGACAGAGAATAACTCCTATTTTAGCGACTACGCAGGAGGAGAGGTGCTTGTTCATCCTTTGACCATGGGATGGCACTCTTGTTATTCTCTAGGCTCAAATGACTGTTGCTTTCTGCATCACTGCTCCCACTTTGCCTTCCCCTTTCATTTATTCTTGACTGTGACAGAGAGGGAAAAGAAATGCTTAATGGTCCCCTAATAAACATTTACTTAAATAATTAATGTCTATTTTGAGCATATATGTCCACTCGATGCCTCTTGTAATTCTAATAGCATAAAATAATTTGTGATATGTAAAAAAAAAAAAAAATGTTTCTTACTAAAAAACATTTTTTTTCTCTTCCTTATATTGACAAATATTAAACTTTCCGGGCTATGATTAAATGTTTAATCAATGAAAGACACATTATTTCTTGTAGGAATTCACATCTTCTGCCACATTTCATACAAAGTGACTCTGTTACTACCGCTTCAATGTATGTGGTTGACATCTTCTCCAAAATGTAATCATCCGATGATCATAGTTTTAGAAAGTTTTGTTAAAATTTGTTCACTAGGTGTTTTGCTAACAAATAAACAGAGTTGACTCCAACAGTTTTACACAAAGACTAACACTTGGAACATTCATTGTGATGAACTCTTAGCAATAATCATGCCATATTTTAGGTCACGATCTGTAAAGCTGACTGAGTTATAGCCATTTTTGGGGGTGGTTGAAGGGCAGTGTGCAAAGGCATCTATCTCAAATCAGGTTGACTCCAAATGTTAACCAGCTGTAGATGCAAACCCAGTGATTACTTTATGGACGTGTCATTAAAATTTGTCCAGTGGTTCATGAGATACTTTGGGAACAAACAGACACCAAGAACGTGTACTTTGTATGTCCGCTCATACACAAAAGTTTGAAAGTCAGCTGTCTGTAAATTAAATGTCAGTATGTTATCACGAAAGGAAGCTAAAAGTGAACCGTCCTTCAGCTGTGTGTACCTCTAATAGCAAAAGTAAGTTCAGTTTTCCAGTATAGAACAAACCTATTTGCGCTGCATCTTTTTACTGCCTGCAATTTAGGATGATCCCTCAGCAAAACCTCAGCACAGACGACGTCTGAGCACCGTATAGAATCATCAAACCTAATAGAGCTCAATTATGTCACTGCAGTATTGATGACATCACCCCTTACATGCAGGTTGATCTCTTTGTAAAACCTTGCTTTAAATATAAATATTTAAAAAAAAGTTGAAAAAAAAAATACACTTGACTAAATTTATCAAAGTCATTTAGTTTTAGGTTTTTTTTTGTTTTGTTTTTTTGGTGATATACAAGTTTGATGGTCTTTTGGAAGAGGAGCATCCTTTGGGTTTGTGAATCCCATCCAAGCAGTCCTCCCCCCTCCTCAGGGTCACTAAATTAATGGATTCTGTCAAAGGATGTTTAATTGGTCTGCGCAGA